GGACACAGGCACATGGACGGACGAGGACGACCAGTTGCTCGGCTCGTTGGTCGAACGGTTCGGGCCTTCATGGAAACACGTACGTACGCGTCCCTACTTCCCATGTCACATATTGTGTACAGCAACCATGTCACATACAACCACATGAAAGGGTTGACATTGAACTGCATTGTAGATTGCGACCAACTTTCCCGGCCGCCTCGGGAAGCAATGTCGCGAGCGGTATCGAAACCACGTCGATCCGAGTTTGACCCACGTAGACAACCAACCATATATCATGACTGCGAGTCCACAGCATCTCATGTTGCACCACGTCACAGGAGCCATGGACACTGGACGAAGACAACATCGTGTTGGCGGCGCAGGTCTCGTCCACCCGAAATGAATGGACAGCGTTGGCTTCCCGTCTCCCAGGTTGGTCCATTGCTTGGCCATTGCTCACAGGATCCCCACTTGGAACAGGTCGTTCAACCAACATGATCAAGAATCGATGGCACACCGTGCTTCAACCCGCCCTCAATCGACGTCCAAGCACGCAAATGGACCCACGACGGCTGGCGAAAGATCGTGACCGTACAATTGGCGGACATGGGCGTTGATACTCGCTAGGACGGCGTTGAATCGACGGGGATCGGCCTTCCCATGCTGTCGCTTGAGCCGCCGAAGCAGCGCGCCGACGTCGGCGAGTCCAAACTGTTGAATCTTTGCCTTTAGAACTGGCACCGCTGTATCCATCGTCAAGCAAGATGGCGGCGGTGCTGCCGATCGCTCGCTCAGACCAAGTGATGTGTCGACTGGTACTTCGCTCAACAGTTCACGTTGGATGGACGGCGGCAACGCGGCCCACACACCCGCGTCCACTTGCGACATTCGACCACATCGGCCCGACGCCGCTGGCTTTGTGGGAGGAGGTTTGGCCTTGGAATACGCGGCACACTGGCGAAGATGCATGGTTTTGGGAAAGTGATGTTGGATCTCGTCGCGCAGGGGCTTGGGAAGCGCGTTCAAGACGGACTGATCGATCTGCGAGTACGACGTCGGCACAGTCGGCGGCGCCACTTGGTGGAGAATCTCGCGGCGAAGCGCCTCGGGCAGCGTGTTGAGGACGTCCGGGTCGATCTGTGACAGGGTTGGCACGCTCCACATGGGACGATGATGGGTACCCTATGTGGTCTGTCGCTTCTGAACTCTAATGTACAGTATCCCCAGCGTTACCACATTGGATACCCATACAAAACAACTATGGGCATGTTTCAAGTATGGTCAATTCGATTCGAAATCAATTGAACATCGAATTAGTGTGTGTGGCTGAAATTAGTGTGACACTGGACGATGTATACATACAAAAGTCAGTACAAAGAATCGAGAGTTGGCGAATCATCAGCACAAAAGTCAACCAAATTTGGGGTCAAAGAAAGACAATAATACAGTTCCTACTATACGATTTACATATATATATAGATAGCCGAATATTCTCGATTTGATACAAATTTGGGGCGGGGGTGCAATCAAATCGCGCCAACCAAACCGATCCACAATCGATCTGATTGGTTGAATTTCATTGAGAAGGTTTTGATTGGCTAATAATGTTGAGCTCATCTGAAGTAGCCAATCAAATCGATTTAAATTCCAACGAGAAACCACAACACAATGAAATTTCACTCGAAAGCACAATATATGTCCCGAAGCAGGTTGAAACTATCTTGTACGTACTTGGACGCGCGGTCATTTGTGACGATGGTGGCCTCCTCCACCGGCCGTAGACGACGACGACTGGGGCGAGGAGGTAGTGCACCACTTTGCAATGGACAACCTGTCGTTGCTGTACCAGTTGCTCCTGATACATCCGCAACCGACGTGTGGATGTCCTGGGAAGCGGCAGCTGTAAAGTATTGGTGGATATTGTCCATCTTGTTCGTGCCGTTCGATTGGTTTTGCACGACTCGGGTAAGTCGACTGGCTTGGACGCCCGCCCCTCGCAAGTCGTGCGGGACTATCTTGAGCTGGTTCAACAGTGTCACACACGTAGCTTCGATCACTTGTACGTCGTTGGTCGGCGCTGGCAACCGCGTCGACTTGCTGCAGTCGTCCGTTCGGCCATGACCCATGTACTTGGCCTACCAAATGCCACAATAAGCAAAACTACAACGTCACTGTACGGTATAGTAAACGCACGGGCTCTACTGGGGCGTCGGGGTGCCGTATCTTGAGCTTCAACGTGAGCGCCGCGGTCGCAAACCCGGCTTTGACCAGTCGAGAGTGCACTTCGGCCCCCAGCGCCCGAACAAATTCGATCGCGGCAGGTCCGTCGGCGAGCCGGACGCCATAGTTGACGTCGGCCGAGATGGACTTGACATGGGGCGCCAACTCCAACGGCCGCGTGTCTTTGCCTCGTGCAAACTGGCGCAGCATGACGCTGGTCTTGGCGCCGAAGTGGCGACCCAGGTCCGCATCTGACCACTTTAGCACGTCGTCGCATGTGTGAATGTTCAACTCCGTCAATTTCGAATGCAGGACATGACTATGTACAACGGCAAAGTGACGTTTAGATTGGATGCGACACTGTCAGAACACAACTATATTACCCGACACCAGGAAGGTCCCGCACCGAAAGGCCGTGAATATGGTCCGACGCGGTCTCGGATGAGATTTCAAACACATTGTTGGGCTTGGCTTGCTTTGTGGCCAACCTATATACACGTATTTACAGCATATCTCGGCAATTGGACGACCTCGCCAAGAGAATGTTGTACGATACACCCACACTCGCGTGGCACTTTGTAGCGTCAAATACTGTCCTGCGAATGTCTCGGGCAACTTGCATTCCATCGGTGCCGATGGGAAATTCCAAAAATGCTTCGTCGCAACTCACAGCTTGCACCGCGGGGGTAAACTGATGGAATAGTTTGTATATTTGGCACGACACCTATGTACAAACAATTCGTCACCCATGAGTAATGATATATATTAATATATATATGTATCAATGATCGTGTCAAAGAATACTATATATATATATATATATTTAGGGTAAATGTGAATGTCAATAAAAGGCCAAAATCATCTTCGATATTTTGGCAATTTCTAAGAAATCGGCAAAAAATGAAAAATTATCTGTCTGGATCCAAGACTTGGAGAATTCAATATTTTGCCAAATATCGCGTTTTTCGGGAAAAAAGAGGTTCAAGTAACTTTTTTTCTGAAAGTTGTTGGCAATAACTGAGAATCGTCGAGTTTCTTTCGAAATCTGTTTGATCAGACAGTCAAAAATAGAAGACAACCAAATTCTTTGAATTACTTTGAACCGAATTTTCGAAATATTAATTGGGCAAAAATTGGGATATGATCCAGACCCACCAAAAGGATATGTTTGGATTTAATGCGTTATTCAAGGCTATATACACGTACTGCTTCGATTTCGGCAAAGTTGTAGGGCAGCACAATCAAATTCGGGCACAGTGCCTTGGCCTACGAATAACCCTATCAATCAAAACCAACCCCAGATGAAACATATACATGTCGTACGTACGTACCGTCTCCATAAACATACCCGCCTTCAAGCCAAATGAACGAGCAATGTAATTACACGATGAAATTTCCGACGTCCCTTGTCGCATGCGCTATAAAATAGATCAGCATAAGTAGCAAGACAACATTACTTTCTGGTTTGTATCTACCGTGTGGGGCCCAGGGGGGTTGGGTGGGAGTTCGACCTCGTCGCAGCCAAGTGCTCCGTGAGACGAGTACCCAGAGTGCGCCACCGCCACCGGCAGCGTCTGGTACACTGACGGCATGTGGCGGATGGCCACGGATACGAAGAAGCAGTCCATGTCCACATGCAGAATCACGCGGTCCACCTTGTCGCAGGAACCAAACGACAGTGTCGACATGTCTGTCGTCGACGTAAACTCGGCCACGTGCTGCATGTAAAAGCTCTTCCATGACCCAATGTGATGCAGTCGCGAGTTTGCAAAGAATGATCGGACGAACGCCGCCGCACCGTCTTTGGTCGACTTGATAGGTCGAAACGTGGCTGGTGGGGTGACCTTGGGGGGCATACCAGTTGCTGCTGTTGCTGCGTCTACCGTCCCAGCCACGTCTCGACTCTGGTTATGGGCTATTAGATGGTGATGGTTACACGAGGATTGATCCTTCTCGATGGTGTCAATGGAGTCTTGTTGGCGGGTTTCTATCAGAGGAGACAGGACTTGAGTCTGGCTTGGAGGGGGCGAGTCGAGTGATGAGTCATGGGCGTGTTGAGATGTCGTGATTTCGAGCTCTTGCTCGTCGATTGCGTGCGGCCAACCATCATCTGCATCATTAGCAGCATCATGGTGAGGATGCGACGGAGTGGATGGAGACGTCACATGGTTCGATGTGTTGTCCCTGCCTCGCCCTGGACTATCTTCGTTGTCCTGCGAGTACGAGAGCTGTTGGGTAGCTGGAATGTCGACTGAGTCATCGACAGACCCCTGCGACAACGTTATCGTCGACGCCGGAGAAGACAGTGGCTGCGTTTGCGAATATGGGAACAAGTTGATTGATCCAACCGGAGACGACTGGTCGTCCATGCACTGAGTCAGTTGGGCCCCGTTCGACGAGGTTCTTGGCGGGGATACGTCTTGTTGTGCAGGTGATCTTTGCGCCAGGTTGACGTCGTCACAACTCGCTTGACCAGGGATGTCCATATGTTCGAGATTGCTGTCGTACATTGAACCAACAACTGGTGGGGGCAACGGACTTGGTGTAATTGGATGGCTAGAACGCGCCCCAGACGAAGAAGGAGAGTACTTTGGGTGCATATGCGAGTATATGTACAAGTGCACAGGCAGGCGGTGTTGTTGGGCTACACAGTCGACGATCCACTGCGGGTGCACCACTGGCAGCGGCTTCTTCTTTCGACTGCTCCTACTTGTTCATATCAGTCATACAACTACTAGAGATGATCATTCAACGTACGTCATCTCAAGCGCTTTCGATGTCGACAGGTGCGTGGCCACCACGTGGGTCACTTGATTCGTCAAGTAGCTCTCGAACGCGCCTCCATGCTGCAGCACCAGCAGTCGCAGCGCCATCTTGGATGGATGTGTGTGTCCATTCACGTACACGACGACGCCGTCCAGCACCCGACTCGTTCTCTTCACATGACTGACCGCTTGGTCGCGCAACTTGGCAATCTTGGATGTCATGTACTCCCCGAAACTGACTGGCGCAGCATTGAACAATGGGACTGACGGTTTCTTGGCTGGTTGGGGGTGCTGAAACATGTTTAGCTTGGCCGCTGACGTGGTTGGGGGCGGTTGTACGGCTGCTGGTCGAGTGGTTGGAGGTGGTGGGGACGTGGGCGGCAAATTTTTGCTTCGATAACTACTCGTTAAATGGAGCGGCGGTGGGAAGGTTGGACACACACGAGACCGTTCGTTGTCATTGGACAAAGCGTGGAAGGCTCCGTTTGCAATTGCAGTAGTTGGTAGGATGGTAGTTTGAGACCGTGGACATTCCTGAGGGGTACGTGGCGCTTCGACAGGACGCCGCTGAGCGCTTGGAGGAGCTGGCTCAAGCGATGGAGGGTGCATGGACGGTGTCAGCTTCGTGGCCGTCGAGGGCTGGACTTCGCATGCGATGATGTTGTCCATCAGACGAGGCGTTGGATTCGCAGATATGCCAAACGTGGGCTGCAAGGGGTCGTGGCAGCGGGAGTAGATGTACGTATGAAGGGAACGACGCTTGCCAGACGCGATGCTGTCGACAATCCACTTTGGATGCACCACAGGCAGTGGTTTCTTCATGCTCCTGTGGCCACATAAATATACAACCGATCGACGTTCGTGGCGATATACGTACATGATTTCACGCAACTTTGAGTCTGCCAGTTGTTCGGCAATCATATGCGTGACCCGACTCGTCTGGTATGCCTCGAACTGTCCGCCGTGTTCGAGGATCAACGTGCGCAGCTTTTCCTTCCGTGGCTCCGTGTGGCCATTGACGTAGATCGCGACGCCGTCAAAAATGCGGCTCGATTTCTTGATGCCGTCGTTCTGCGTGCGGAGCTTTTGAATCTTGGAAGCCATGTATTGACCAAAACTGAGGCTGCCCGCCGCCTGCTGGCCAAACGAAGGTTGCGACGGAACAGCCTCCGCCGCCTTTGGCTGCGGTAGGAACGGGTTACGCCTGCCCTCCATGCAGTACCTCAGCAACAGTGAACGATCTCTCTCAGTCGAAGCTGTGGTTGCCGGGGTAGTCAGAATCAACGGATGGGATACAGTTGCCTCAAGGGTGGCGAGGTCCTTGAAAGCGCGAATGCATCAAGGTGGAATTTACCGCAATACCGTGAAATTGAATTATTTATCATTATGTTTTTCCAGAGGATCTGAAGAGCAAATGTGTTCATCTATCATCTATTTGAGCTATAAGCAATCTATTTTCAATATCAAAAGCACCAAAAACGCTTTATCACGCCATTACAAGGCAAGAAGCCAACATCATTTCATTCTCAAACGAACGCAAAGTACCGACTGTCAAGGCATTGATTTCGATTCTTATTATGTTCCTATATGTTACTATATGTTATTAATACTACTTCGAAGTATTATTAATAATAGGATTCTCTCCACATCTAAATCATTCAATTTGTTTGAATAAATAAGATAATAGATGAACCAAATGTACATTTTAAGATTTGATCATTGAAGTTCCACATGCTCCAACGCGTGACTGGAAAGGTCGGCGGAAACACAGTGGTGCTACGCCCTGCACTTCAAGCTCTCAAGGAGAAGGCAGAGCATACGCTGGACAAGAAGGCCGGGGATGTAGTTCTCTTCAGCAAGAACATGCACAACAACACTGGCATGACCGACCTCAGCTTCGAAACACACAAGGCCAAGAAACGAGTGAGCATGTATTTCACGTCCAAACCCGACGGCATTGCGTCGTATCGACGGTGCGCGGCCATCTTGGCCAGTGTGGACAGCGTGGAGCTACAGTACACGCCGCAGTTTGGCCAGTCCAGGATATCCTTCGAATGGGATGAATTTTGGAGCATGATGGAACACAACAAGTTGGGGTTTCTCGCGTCCGAGTCGTCTCAGCCGTTGCTTCATCTCGGCGGCGATCCGTCTCAAGACTACATGTAAGTACCCCCTGCATACTTGTCAGGATTTCTAGCGTTGCAGACCTGGATGTTGCTTGTAGAGATGTCCATGGAGCCGAGGACGGGGCATCGTTCGATATGGAGTTCGAAGAGATCAAAAAGCTTGAATAACACTGAATTTTACGAAACGTTCGCTACTGTAAGATTCGCCGACTGGTGCTGGCTAGCCACGTCATAACGATTAGATTTGCTTGATTCCAGTACACATCATAGCTTAGTACCCCGCATTCACGGTGTCGCCAACTACAAAGGTCTCTCATGCATCTGCATTCCGACTCCTGTGAGGTATCTTAGTGGCGGTTACTAGTTAACCGGATGGATCTTGAAAACGGTTTCATTTATGCGGAGAACCGCAAAAATTGCCCCAGCCAGCCTAGCTGTAACCGCCGACAGACGTGGCGTCCGTCGTCAAAGTTGCATTGTTGAGATATCCATGTTTGGCAAATCCAAGTCCCTCGAGGTGCGCGACGCGTCGCCATCGTTCTTGCCCAAGAAGGCGGCGGGTACTGGCGTGAAACTCCCGCCGCCGATGGCCAAGAAGACGTCCGAGTCCACAGTCATGAAGACCAACACAGTCACGGGCGTGGATGTGTCCCACCTTCAAGTACATACATGCGAACTCTTCGCATGACGACTACAGAGCTAACCGCGTCGAGTAGATAGGGTCCCGTGTGTGGGTTCCAGACGCCAAGGTGCTGTGGCGCGTGGGGGAAGTCACGGCGGTGCTTGATGGCGGTGTCGTCGACGTGTTTGTACCCGAGAGCCCCGACGACAAGCACCAGGTTCGTTACGTTTCCTCGGAGAGGCTACCTAGCTCATCTACCTACCCAGCCATGTGACAGAGTGTACCTTCATGTATCGATAGAAAGTCGCTGCGTCGGCCATGCTCGGGTTTGATCCGTCGCATTTGATGGACCACGCGGACATTGCGCAGATGAACAACATGCACGAAGCACCGCTCATGTCGGTGTTGCACCGACGCTACTTGATCGACGCTATCTACACGTTCACGACCGACATTCTCATCTCGATCAACCCGTACAAGAGCATCCCCATGCTCTACGATATTGCTGGGTTCATGGCTGCGTCCAAGGCCAAGTTGGACTGCGAATTGAAATCGCCCCACTTGTTTAGCATTGCCGAAAAGGCATACCGCGACATGCGACTCGGAAAGCAACGGGACACGGCGCAGTCCATCGTCGTGAGCGGCGAAAGCGGCGCCGGCAAGACAGAAGCGTCCAAGCACATCATGAAGTACTTGGCGGTGGCGAGTCGGCAAGCGGACGAGTCGTCCAAGGGAGTTGGCCATGCCGCTACTATGTCGCTGCATGAAAAGATTGAAGAGTGCGTCCTCCTGTCCAACTTTGTGCTCGAGTCGTTTGGCAATGCCAAGGTACTGTATGTATGTTGCACATATTGATGATTGCTATCCAACTTGATCGAGGTTGTATGATAACTCACTATTAATAGTATTATTGTGCACTTTACCCAAATTTGGACGTTTGTGAGTCATTTGGACACACACAAACCTCTATAAATTTATATATATGTATGTATATAAGGGGTTTTGTATTTACAGTTAACTGTGTGTTGTTGGTTCTTTCCAACATATTGCTCAATCTTTCCAGCGTACTATTTATAACAATTAATAACAATGTTGCATTTGCGATCGTAGACCTCTCGCAACGACAACAGCAGTCGGTTTGGCAAGTACATTCAGATCTTGTACGACCAAGACGGCCGCATGTGCGGCGTCTCTATCAAGCACTTTTTGCTCGAGAAGACTCGCATCGTCCTCCCTGAAACCAACGAGCGCAACTACCACGTGTTTTACCAGGTACTTTATGTGATATATATATGATATATATGTGTCCACTGTGGTCTGTCTATTGTTCCTCAAGCATATATGTGTATGTATGGTGGACTGTACATATATATGTAGATGCTGGCAGGCCTCGATGCTCTGGAATTGGCCGAGCTGGAGCTGGTCGCCCCAGACGAGTACGAGTACTTGACGTCTGGCAACTGCATCGGCATCGACGGCGTCGACGACGCAGCCGACTTTTGTGGGCTGCGAACGGCCATGGACAAATTGGGGTTTACGTCCGCCACACAACGCGAGCTGTTTCAAGTGCTGGCAGCCATTTTGAAGCTTGGCAATGCTTCGTTCGTCCCAGTACACCCGCAGGACCGCGAAGCGTGTCAGTTTGCACCAGGTACTGATATATATATATCACTTTTTGGACTTGAAATATCACTTTTTGGATTTGAAATATCACTTTTTGGATTTGAAATATCACTTTTTGGATTTCAAAATATCACTTTTTGGACTTGAAATATCAGTTTTTGGGTTTGAAATATCACTTTTTTGGATTTGAAATATCACTTTTGAGATCACGTCATGTTCAAAATGATTGGTAGAGGTGCCGTTGGAGAAGATTGCCCAACTCCTGGGCGTCCAAGCCGCGGATCTCGAGCAAAAGATGACGACGCAAACCACCGTGACGGGCCGCGGGTCGATTTTGCATATGAAATTGACGTACGTACATGTGTAAACAATGTAAGCGGAATTCGACGACTTGTGTAACGTAGATGCGACCAAGCGCAGAACGCCAAGCACGCGTTTTGCAAGTTCATTTACGGCGAAATGTTCAACTACCTGATTGGGCGCATGAACTCGACGTCGGCTGAATTTGTGAAATCCAAGTCGTTTATTGGGATTTTGGACATTTTCGGGTTTGAAGTCATGCCCGTTAACAGCTTTGAGCAATTGTGCATCAACTTTGCCAACGAAATGCTCCAGCAGCAATTCAACAAGCACATTTTTGTGCTCGAACAGGTACAAATATATTACTATTTCGGGTTTTGATATATATATCTACAAAACCAAGAATGAACCATATTTATTTTGTAGGAGCGCTACGCTGCCGAGGGCATTGCCGTGTCTGTAATTGAGTTTCAGGACAACCAGGTTCTCGTGGCAAAGGATCGTCTTGTTGTCGACTCATATATCGATTTCACATTTGATCTATAATTTTATGTTTTTTTCGCTTTTAAATACCTAAAAATTAATATATATTTTTATCCTAGGAATGCTTGGATTTGATTCAAAAACCACCCAGCGGTATCATGCCGTTGCTGGACGAGCAGATCATGTTGAAGCGCAAGACCACGGATCGGCAGTTGCTGACCATTTACCACCAAGTACGTACATATATAATATTCGTGTGTTCTTTGATATGTAGAATTGTCGTTATTTTATGATATATATATTTTTATTTGTAGACCCATTTGGAAAAACACGCGAATTACGCCAAGCCGCGGTTCGAGTCGGACGATTTCGTGATCAAGCATTACGCCGGCGACGTCATGTATTGTATCAACGGATTCATTGGCAAAAACAACGACAACTTGCACGAAGACTTGATGGATCTGTTGCGGGCGAGGTAAACGTTATACATATATATATATATATATATTTATATTTATTTATACACATATATTATATTATATTTATTTATCATACATATATTATATATACATATATTATATATATATATATATATATATATATTATTTGGTACGAATGTCCGGACCCTGTTTCATCGAGTCACGCCGACCAAACCGATCACGAATCGCTGCCATTGGTCACTCTGAAAATTCTTGTCGCGGATTCGCTACAGTGTATTATTATTATGTTTTCTGCGGAACCGGAAAAGCCAAAATGGGGAAATTTGAAGCAAATTCATAATTTCTTTGACGATATATTCAAGTGATTGACAACTATATTACTTACTGTAGCTCGCTGCAGTTGGTCAGGACCATGCTATGTGGTAACACCCCCGCGGCGCCTGTGCATATGAAGAGTCCTCGGGGAGCGAGCAGTAGCGACCCAGCCGCCACGAAACATCGTCGCAACGCCAGCTCGTTGTCTGGGTCGACCACTGTCGCAAGTAAATTCAAAGCCCAGGTACGTTACATTTCATGTGATATGCTGTATTTTGACTTTTTAAATCTATTTTGTGCTTGTAGTTGAGCGGGCTCATGGATATGCTGACCAGCACGACGCCGCACTACATCAAGTGCATCAAGCCCAACAATATCAAGTTCCCGGGCGGATTCAGCTCCGAGTTGGTGCGCGATCAACTGATTTGCAGCGGCATTTTGGAAGTGATCAAAATCCGACAGCAGGGCTACCCCATCCGACGGTGTGTAGTTTTATATTAATTTTTGATAGAAGTATATCGTTTTTTGACGAACTAATGTAGCCCATTCGACCACTTTTTCGACACGTTTCGGGGCATTTTACGCGGAAAACAAGGTGGAATTAGTGTCCTGGACGGCTGTCGCCTCATTACTACTGCGGCGCTGTTGCCAACAGCATTTCAAATTGGAAAGACAGAGGTATTCATATCATGTTGTAACAATATATATATATATATATGCAATTGAAACAACTGGCGGATATCTCGTGCTCATCGTGGGGATATGTGTAGGTCTACCTTCGGTATGGCCAATTGGAACTTCTCCAGTCGGTGTTGGCTGGCGTGAAAAGTGAACTTGCAACGACGATCCAATCCAAGTTCTGGAGACGCTGTGTGGTCCACCGCCAATTCAAGGTCCTGCGACACGGAATGATCCAATTGCAAGCGAAATTCCGCCAAGTGCGACTGGCGACCCAATTTCAAGCCATCAAGTGGGCCACATTGAAGCTCCAAGTACGAAAAGAAACCTCTAAAAACCAATATCTCACACAGTTGCTAGGCATCCCATCGACGCAACGCATGTGTGCGAGTGTTTGCCGGTCAAAAGCAAGCGGCTCGAGTCCTTCACGCCATCGGTCGCGGCTTTGTCACTCGCCGGTACCATCTTCATCTCATTGCACTTTTGTCGATATTGTCTGTAGTGTGCACACACTTTGCTGTTCTACTTCCTATTGCACTATTATCGTGAATTTATATTTATTTACGCCCTCTGACATGTATGATGGATGGTAGCCGAGTCGTTCGAGATGCGAAATGGCAGCAAGCGGCCGTGGTGATTCAAAAAATCGTCCGCGGGTACCTCCATCGGTCCAAGGCGTCGCGGGCTTTGAAATGCCAACACTCGAGCGCGATCTTGATTCAGGCGGTGTACCGCGGGTACCGAGACCTCCAACGCTTCTGCCACGTGTATGAAAACGTCGTGCTGATCCAAGCCGTGTATCGCGCGCATCAGAACCGCCAGTTGTTTCTCCGGGGAAAGGTACGTACATATTGTCAAGTTTGTCGTCGTACCATGTCTCATATCCTTGCAGGCGGCGGCGGTGGCGTCCCAAGCGCTGGTGCGCAAGCGGTTGCAGCGCAAAAAGTTTGTACACCAGCGTCGCATGGTCATCCGTCTGCAGTCTTTTGCACGCATGGTACCGCATCGCAGTGAATTCTTGCGCCGGCAACGCGCCGCCATGGCCATCCAGCGCTTCTGTCGGCGCGTCTTGGCTCGGCACCATGTCACACAAGTGTCTCAAGCGGCCAACGTCGTCGTGTCCTTTATGCGCATGTTTTTCTGCAAGAAGACGTTGTCGATCCAGCGTCAAAGCATCTTGCGTATTCAGGTGCGAGTACATGGAAGCATAATATACTTGTTTGAATGTGACAGGGTATGCATGGTCATGGTGGATATATGTCTGTGTATTTGTTTGGCATGCAATTTTACATCGGTTGGTCATAAGGACGTGGTACGTAGCGCTCTGTGCGTGGGTATTTGAATCGGCGGTGGTTTGTGTCGTTGGTTCGAGCTGTTCGAGTGGTGCAGCGAGCGGTGCACCTGTGGCGAGAGAAGCGACGGCTGGCATCGCAACTGCGTCGGCTTCGAGACGCGTGTGACCGACGAGAATCTGCGACAGTGCTCACCCTCGTTCGAGCCACCCCCGAGCTCATGTACGTCCGCCACCACCACGACCAGTACAACTCGCTGCTGCACATCGCAGCTGCGTCGGGGGATCTGAACGTGGTCGAGTTCATCTTGAGCCAAGACAAGCACGCCATCAAACTCGTCAACAAGGACGGCAACACGCCGCTGCACGAGGCGTGCGCCCATTCGCGGCTAGACGTGGCCAAATGTTTGCTGCGAGCGACGTCGTCCATCCCGTGGTGTCACTCGCCCGAAACGACCGACGGCGACGACGTGCCCGTAGCCACTACGACCACCACTTCGACGACATTGACCAATGAGAACGACGTGGTGGTGATGGCAGGCACTTTGAAAAAGAGACGCGAGGCGTCGGGGTGGATGACGCGGTATGTTGTGCTTCGAACGACCAACCACGTCCCAGAACTGCACTATTACCACAGCAAACCCCGCCATGGTGGCACGAAAAGGTCGGTCTGTTGTATAGATAGGAATTGCATGATGGCAAAGCAAGTTTGGGAGGATTGAGAGAGAGTGTTGTACGTAGCGATAAAGTGCTCGATTTGCGCCGAGCGTTGTTTAAAAAGTGCGATGACGTGGCGTTTTCGTTTGAGGTTCACTCGCCCGAGCTCCTGCAAGGGTATGTACACACACATACGTGCGATATTGTATACATGCTAGCTAGCACATGGTAGATATCGAGTATTCAGTGTGTGTATATGTTGTTATGGATTGGTTTAGACGGAACCGCGAAGGCCGATTGTACTTTCAAGCGACGACGGAAATGGAACTGCAGTCGTGGCTAGCGTGTCTGCGCGACACGGTGCCGTCGACGCTTGAGACAAGGTTGTTTGCCATGCAGCGCTCCACCGACAGCATCCAGTACGTCGATCGCACGAACGAAGCTGACTGGGTGAATGCAACCAACGTCCACGGGGAAACGACGCTGCATGTGGCCGCCCGGGGGGTCCCGGGGAAGGCGACGGCGGCATCTACCCCTGTAGTCAGGACGCCCGACGACCAACCCCAGCACCTAAGCCCTTCTCCTGTGACGTCGTCGATTCGATCAGACGAAGTGCACGCCGTCAAAACGTGCTTGTGGCTATTGGAACACGGCGCCGAGCTTAACCTTGTCACATTGAGAGGCAACCAGTCGGCGCTGAAACTCGCCATCCAGAGCAACTATCTGACGTTGGCCAAGGTGAACCCCCTCATATTGTACTTGTGTAGGGGGGTTAGATGATAATGCATCCAGAATAATTGTTTGAACAGTGCTTATGGTTGTGTAATTGACTGGGGATTGATTGAGTTATTTGTTGTGTATAGCACTTGTTGGACCGAGGTGCGACGGCGGGCGACTTGAACCCTGCAGAGACGGCGATCGTCCAGACCCTCCGGGCAGACTTGGCCAAAACTGCGATCACGTGCCTGCAATCCCAGGGCAATCACGACGCTGTGCTGTTTCTGCTCAAGCGGCCAGGCCATGTGCGATACAGTTCGTACGTGTCGTTGTATGTGGAGCAAGTGGGGCTGCTCAACGTCCTCCAGTTTACCCGGCCGCGTCTGGTGATCAGTGTCTACGGTACGTCGAATCATCTTCGTGCCAATGGAGGATATGTAACACTGTGTAGATACGCAAAAGAACTTGGTGGAGAAGAAACAACAAGTGACATCGTTGCCGTTGGCGCACGCGAACGCCATGTTTTGGGGATGTACGTGGCATATGCAAACGCCCATGGAAAATCTACCCACAGGTACACACTATCAACTTTGAATCGAGATTGGGGTGGATATATTAATATATATTGATATACTAATACAATTTGATATATTTGTGAAATGTATATTAGGAGCCCTGGTCGTGATCGAAGTCATGTCGTCTTCCAACCATGGCAGCATTATGCCCACTTCGCCTGGATACGGCGCCACGGAACCAGTGTGCTGGACGTACATTCACATTGACAAGCGCACTGCAACTACGTCCCGCTTGAATGCAGAAATGTGCGTCGAATATATATACATATATATATATATATATATTATATGGGCAAAGTGCACTTATATTAATCGATTTGTACATGTTCCGAATATTAGGTACATGTACCCGTTGGACCTGAAGTTCAAGAAACTCCAGCGTTATGACGGGTTTATCAGCGGCGACATTGTCTTGTCTCAAGGATAGAAAGTATTAGTACTATATTCGACGGATAAACAAATGTGCATTTTGATATTTTCATGCGACTCGAGAAGGCGTATTATATAAGAATTACGGCCGAAAGGTAAATGTATGGCCTTGGGGGCACATGTATTGCCCCGCTTGGCTCCCTGGAGGCATTTGCACGCGCGTGAGACACGTCGGGCACTGCCGCATGACGACACCGCCCCCTGGCGCGCCGCCTCGAAAGGGGGGCGGCGGCGGTACCGCTAGATTTGCAGGCGCTCCGCTGGAGCTAGGCATGCGGAGGGTGAACAAGTGACCGTTGGGACACTGCAACGTGCCGCGCGCGGTGGAGCTGACCAAGCAGCGAATGCGGCACGCAGGACATTCGACAATTACGTTGTTGGGCTGGCCTTGCGCCGCCATGCGTGCTCGCTCCGCCGCCGTCGGCGTGTGTGCCAAGGAATGACCGCATCCATCGCAGAATTGCCCGCCCGTGCCGCGCTTGCCGCAGTTGGTGCAGCACGGGTGCGCCTTTGCCAGACCAGACGTCGGTTCGGGCCACTGCGTTTGCGTCTTGCGGCAGATAGGGCACTTGGTCGAGTTCGCCTCGTCGTGGTTGACGTTCTCAAGCAAACATGTAAAATGGAACTTGTGGCCACATTCCCCTGTGAACACTGACGCTCCCAGCGGCGTGAACTCGTCGAGACAGATCGGACACTCGTCCTGTTCTGACAGACACAACGTCACCTTGTGGTCAAGGCTGGGAGTGGCAGTCTTAGCCTTTAATGCAACGAGGGCTTCTCTCGGTCCTGTGATCTCGAGCACATTCAAGTCGCTGTGGGAGCGCTGAAGCGGTCGGGTCGCCGTTGCCATCTTGCTTCGACAACAAATCGAATTTGGTGTTCCGTCCTTTTGATGCTGCTTGTTACCAACATTTTAGACCTGTTGTGAAAGCTAGGTCCGGATAAATTGACTGTTATCCGGGTGTTATTCTGGTCGGTGACTCTTGGGATCTGACATCACTACAAATCCACCACATTCTCTAAATAATTATGACCAACAATTGTTTTAAGTTGCATTTCCTACCAGTACATGTGTACGTGCTTCAGTTCCAACGCGTAGACTATTTGGTGCATTTTGCGTCGACACTGAGGATATATATCAGCTACCAAGTGGAGACTTCTCCAAATATGCTATATTTCCATGTATTTGAAGGTCGCCACAGAGGAGCACTCCTTATTAATAATGCAGCCTAAGCTTATACAATGCAAAAAGGAAGCCACATGGATGATTGATTAACTGTAAGTGCCCATACTACAGTTCCGGACAACGAAGTAAGTTACGTACTTGTCCGAGTACCGCTAATACTAATAGTACTTCGAAGTAGATCGTTTATTATTGGTGCTAAATTCAGAGAATAAATAGATCGATGTCTTGTTTATTTATTCCTTTTTATACATCATCTGCCATTGTGCTAACAATTCACTTCGAAGTACTTCCCCAGAGGTGCATCTTCTCCTTCGTAGTTTTACCTTGCTTCGTAGCCATGAACAACAGTAAATCGCATTTGCGTGTTTTGAGTTCGAGAATTTGTTCTGTTTTCAATGGCTTTGTAATTTTTAGATGAAAAACTTCATTTTTGTCTACACTAATAATATGTGTGTTTCAATAATTTAGGCTACCCTATACTATTAATAGGATACTATTGTAGTACTGTATAATGTTACACTATTCGTGCGTTGGACCCCTCCAAATGACATTTCGCCAATAGTGTACCTACCTTTTACTCTATTATACTTCAGTAATAAGTACTGTAAGTTAGTAACTTACTGACTGTGAACTACTACGTATTAATAGTACTACCCGGTAGTACTACCTACTATTATAGTACGTAGAACGTAGTAGTAGTTACGGATAATGGTGTTGAGTTGTGGTTGGATAATATCCGAATACGAATCCCTCGACCGGATATCCGACCCAACGCACTTGGTAGGTACTTCCACGCGGACACGCTGACGTCATGCATCCCGACCTCAGCGGATTTTGTATGGTGTTAGCTCAATCGATTGATGTACAAGCTCATGGTGGTCATTCTTCTTTTGTAGACAAAACCCCCGTGACGTATGCGTACCTTTCGGCCACGGGCATGGCATCGGCGGCGGCGCTGTTCATGGACATGGAGCACCAACTGACCTTGGGTACGATGACCACATCGACTGGCCAGTTATCACCGCAGCCTTCTCACGTCAATGACGCAGATGTGTCAAAAATTGCCAACTTATCGCAGTACTGGCGCTTGCTGACGTGTCATTTCGCGTTGGACAAGTACGTCGAAACCTCATTCGCAAGCTACGAGTGACCAAGCTAACTCTGACATGGTCTGTTGAATGCAGTGGAATCGCCGTTGCGTTTGGGATGTACGTGCTCTTCCAGTTCCGGGTGATCGAGCGCCAGGTAATCAATCCTCCAACGACCTCAGACGAAACCCATGGCCATACTTGTAGTTTGGGTCCAACAAATTCGGCACATTGGTCCTCCTTGTCCTGCTCACTTCTACCGCTCTCCAAGTGTGGCTAAAGTGGCCCACAACGCCTGGCCCTTATCCTCTGATTGGAGCGCTTTTCGTGATTTACTTCAGTACGATTCTACAACCAATCAAGACTGACACTGATCTAGGCAACGTTCCACAGCTCCAGCCGAGATTGTACAGCCTGTTGGGCTTGCATGTGTCGGATAAGGCGTCCACATATGGCTTGCTTTCGGTGGTAAGTTGGCCCACATAACGACACCTTCCATGACCATCATGACCTCGTAGGTATGCTTGCGATCGTACGCCACTGCGTTTCCCTTTGCCACGGGCGTGTTGGTTGGACTTTTGTACCAGTCCAAGGCCCTGCCTCTGTCCAAACTGCGCCTCCCGGGCTTTCTCGTGTGGTTTTTTGAAGTAAATTTGACTTCTTCGCCATCTCCAAGTCGAATATAAAGTCCTAATTTCGGTTACTGCCTAGTGGTTCCATCCTATTTTCATGGTCGTGCCTCCGTCGGTGCTCCAACAGCAGCGGCAGCGACAGATTTTGGATGCACAGCGCCGCCAAGCCGCCGCCATGGGCGGCCACCCCCCACAAGTAAGTTCTTCTATCGAGGGTCAATCAATATATACGAATCGACCATATCTTTATACAGGAAGGGGTGGGGCATGGGTTCCGCGACCAGTTGCTTCCAGGCAATGGCCACGTTCCATTCCAGCATCGCGTACGTAGATATATATATATATTGAATCGTTGTTCATATGCCTATTATCGGTAGACGCCGCCATCGGAAGATGCGATCAATCAATTGACGGTGCGTACTAACCAGGGTGGCTTTTGCTGTTTTTGCTCAATAACGTGGTATTTAACTGCCGTAGGGCCTTGGGTTTGAGCGCGACCAAGCCATTGCCGCGTTGCAAGCCAGCGACAACAACGTCGAGGCGGCGGCCAACCGACTACTGAACGCCACATAAACAGTGAAATCTAATAGTAATCGATGGATTGCTTTTTAAATTGTTTTTTAACTACTTCGCTGTTTGGAAAGGCGAGTTGGCGAACCTTGTCGTGCGGGGGCAACGACGAGGGCGGTGACCCATAGGGTTTTCACTTTGGCTGACTCGGTGGTAAACACTGCATGGTGGCCATGAACGTCCACCACGGCAAATGCCGTCGCGGCTACGTCCATCCAAAAACCGCTGGGAAATAAAGTAATAAACAAACTAGAAATTCAAAGTCCCCAATGGAAACGTCAGATGCCACAGGAAGTATGGAAACCCAGTTGCTTTGATGGCCACATTCAATCAGTACGTACCCGTGTCGTGCACCGACGACAGCTCTTGGATGATTGACGGGATGGAGAGGGGAGTCGTGTATTTGTTGCCCGACATGTCGATGGCATTGGTCACGTCCAGTGTATATTGGGGCTGATTGATGTGCGCAAACTTTGGAGACCGATGCAAGAACAGCGTGTGGCTACACAGATCATACAAAACGACGCAAACGGTCTGCTAAACGTATGAAAGACACTCAGTTTGGTTTTACGCACGCTTTCAAAGTCACATAGTACGTAGTCCGGGATGCCGTCGACGGCTTCCACAACGGATGCGGGACCAGCACAGTCAAGAACCCCTGCACTCGCACAGTGCCTTCGGGAACGTCCACGGGCGCCGCATCCTCGCGGTGGAGGTCTTGCAGCTCCGACTTGGAGTAGTACAGGTCGCTGCTTGGAGTGGCCACTTGGGGGGGAAGCATGTACGTTTGCGTGACGGTAAACTGCACCGAGTGCCGCCGTTTGGGCTTGAAGAGCAGGGATTTCAGGCTAATGTATGAATCAGTTGAATATTTGAAGCACGAGACCGACAAACCAACCTGTCGACAACAGAGCCAGGCTGCTTGTCTCTGCGGACAATGGACTTGAGCTGACGACGGGGGCTACTCGACCGAAGAGGCCCCTCCTCCGACAAAGCATTGGAGGACGGCGCAACAGGGGGCTCGCGGCTACTCGCCGTCGCTTCGGCGATCACACCGGGCATGAGGACGATGACCGAAATGATACGACGACTGTGGTGGCCTTCGACCAACCACGTGACAGTTTCAACGCCCCACTCATAGCTGATTAGGGTATTACGACATTCGTGGCTGGCTCATGCAACGTGAAAGATCGTGTCCCAGCAGTATGAATCAATTCACATTGGAGCGATGCAGGTACTGTATTGTACTGAGAAGTAGGCCGAGATGGATGGTTCACGGATCGGATCATGTCATGCTAGTTCATTGTGGTCATGTGCACTATTGAGTAAGGAACAGCTACATTTGCTGGACCAATAACTACTAGCATGTAGCACTATCGACTACTACTCGTACTCAAATGGACCCGATACTGCGAGCTACAGATGCGGGTCGCTATGGAGGACATGACAGAGAGTACTGAAGTATTACTAGTATGTTGTTGGTTTCTCCATTAAATAGTAGTAGTAATACTAGACGAGTCAGCCACTGTACAGAGTTACGTGCCAAGGCGAAACCAGTGGGCCACTAGCACCATGATCACCCTACCAAAGCAACCAATCTGGTCAATAAGTGTAGTGCCCATGGAAGTAGTTACCCCACAAGAATCATGATGATGTTTTGCTGCGTGATGTCGTTGGACTTCGCCTTGACGAGGATCTGGCCTGTGGAATTCAACGTGACCAGCACAGACATGTCGGCCAAGTTCATGGCGTCGATGCTTTCGAGGAGGCGCAACCCGATGGCCCGGGAGACAAACACGGACGGGATGACCACCTGCGATGCGTTGCCAGGGTCGCCCACCATGGTTACGACCCACGAGTTGTTCATGCGATGCTCGTTGTCCATCACCACCACGGCCTTGGCCCCGGCGGTTTGAGCCTGCAATACTTTGTGGGCGAAGTTGCAGTCCCCGCGCACCATGAGCGCAACTTTTCCAGAGAGGTCGTTGCGGATGAGGCCGCACGCGTCGAAAGGACGCACTAAGAGGATGGAGAAACAAATATCGTGTGGACCATCCAGTATTGAGCGACATTTTGCGACGTACCGACTACGAGTTCGAGTTGAACCACGTCTTTCGGGTACAAATGGCCGAAGCGGGCTGGACTATACACACACACATGCGCATGAAACATGTTGATGGTGTGCGACGTATCAGTGAAATAGTCACACGTACACATGCCGCTCGACGTTACAGCAAGGCCTATATCATGTCGATGGGATCAGTACAGGTCGAGGAGTAGGGTATGACGCACCGATCAATGACAAGGGCGTTCAGAGGAAGGACGATGAGTAAGAGAAGCGACAGGCAGATGAGAAGCTGGCGGAGTGGCGGCGCCATCGTAGGAAGGTTGTCTCGACGGCGTCAAAATCCGACGTTTTATGCGAAAATACGAAATCAGGGGGAAGATCAGTTCATACAAAGATCAAGGTAACGTAAAATATAAAATAACAACGGTTATCGAAACTATTCATTTATCCTTTTATAAAGGTCTCGGACTTGCCTATCATTAACACTATATACATTCAAAATGTATCACACTATTACAGTAAAACATTATTATGCGGTGTGTAATCCAGATGGCTTGGGAATATCCGGGATAACGTTATAAAAAAAACGTCAATGGAATTCCGAGAACAGTACTATTAATAGTATTACCAAAGCTGGATATTTGTGCACCAAATCGATTGGTCGATTTGATGTACTGAATTTTGGATGTAAACGCTGTACACTCTTTGAAGTCAAAGTCGGTTGCAGGTGTTTGATTGGCCACTTGGAATTTTATGTTTTTATTCGTCGGTCGATTGTCTGCCTGCTCATACCAGTATGGTGCACGTCATCTAAAAACTTCCAACTGGCCAAATCGAAGAGTGGAGGTTTTATTATTTAACGTACAATTAATGTAGTTAAACCCAAAAATCAAATACGTTAAATACCGATTTTATGCGTTTTATCACTACAGTAGGAGGTTAAAGGTCCCAACTACCTCCGGGTATTATATACGGATAAGAGCCACATACAAAAATCAAGATACATCTCAGCGGCCACCCCTATGGCCAAATAGTATCAATACCGGTAGGTTAACAGTAATTTTCTATTTCTAGATCGATTCATCAATGAGACGTAGAGTTTCTTCACCACATTGAGATCTGTCGATTCTACGTCTCAATTTGCTGAAATTTTGACTAGTAAATATGAAATAGAAGTCAGAAAATTTTGTGAAAAGTTGGTAGTTTATAGATGAGGTGCACTAACTGTAAACGACACCACTACAAGTTCGAATCAATCAATAGACAACAACCAGTATTAATATTATTAGTACGTAGTTGTATTAATAAAAGTACTACTACACTACTAGTATTATTATAAAAATGAATACTATTAATATATGGATTGTACGGTGGATTGAAGCCTTATTTCTGAAAGAACTGCATCGTGTACGCCACCGCCTTCTCGGACCAGGTCGGGAGGGGGCCAAGGGGTTCCCCAGGGGTGGCCGTTTCAATTTTCGCGGCGAGGCGGGAGCCTTGGTTGATGGCGCGCTTGGCGTCGAGTTCCGAGGCCTCGTCGGACCCGCCGATGCGGAACACGGGGATGTTGCTCTTCTGGAGAGCCGGCTCTAGGTCCCGCAGGGGTATTTGTCCGGCGCACACGACGATGTGATCCACTTGGAGCAGCAGCTGCTCGTTGGTTTTGGTTTTGGTGATGTACAAACCCTGGTCATCCACCTTGTCGTACGAGATGCCGCCAATCATCTCAACGTCGCGGTGCTGCAGCGATAGTCTGTGAATCCACCCCGTGGTTTTGCCCAGGTCCTTGCCGAGTTTAGTCGATTTGCGCTGCAACAAGTACACTTTGCGGATCGGCGGGGGGTGGACGTGCCGAGGCGCGAGCCCCCCGCGGTTGGTCATGGTGCGGTCGATACCCCACTCATCCGCGTACAAGTCAATGTCCAAGCTGGGAGATGTGCCCGTGTGCGTGGCATACTCGGCTACGTCGAAGCCGATGCCGCCGGCGCCGACTATGGCCACGCGGTGGCCCAGCGTCACGTTTCCGTTTAGGACATCCACGTAGCTCACCACCTGACATAATATTGTTATTATCCGTGTAAGGTTGGAGCCATATCGAATAGTAGTAATAGTAGTAGTAACTTGTGTATCCCTGATATTATATATTGTCAATTCGATTGTTCGAAATTGAATGGATATATATGAGCGGCACCAAATCGGCAGACATTCACGAATCAACGGGCCAATCAAAATCTCGCTTCAACCATTATATAACATCGAATTAGTGTGACTTGATAAGTGTGGATACCGGACAATATTGTTGACATACAAAATTCAACCCAAAAATGGATTTGGCAAATCAGCACACAAATAATCCAAAGTGACAATACCAACAAGAGCCATTTGCGGGCGGCAGTCGACTTTAAAAACTTCAGTCCGCTTAGAAATATATATTTTTTTAAATGTTGATATATATATATAATACCTTGGGGCTACTGGCGGCGCCTTCGATCGTGAGCTTGCGCGGCGTGATACCCGTGGCCATGACCACCCGATCAAACTGGTTGTCAATCAAGTGTTGGGCGTCAACATATTGCCCCAGCTGCACTTTGACGCCATGTTTCTTGATTTGTTTGCCTAAATATCATAATCATACTGTGAATCATCATCTCGATTGGCTCAAATGTGTAAAATCATGCGAATAAAATAAATAAAATACGTACCAAAATAGCGCAGGGTTTCGTAAAACTCTTCTTTGCCGGGGATTTGCTTGGCCAGGTTGAATTGGCCGCCAATCTCTTCGTGCTTGTCGTACAACGTCACGTCGTGGCCCCGCTCAGCGGCGACGCTTGCGCACGCCAACCCTGCCGGACCGGCGCCCACCACGGCCACCTTTAACGGATCTAATTAACTGTTAGTTAGCCCTTAGTTGACGTGTATCGTTGTATGTACACTGGGTGGGGCGGTAGTTGAGTTCGGTTTCGTAGCACGCGCGGGGATTCACCAAGCACGACGCTGTGATCCCTTTGAACGTGTGGTCCAGACACGCCTGGAATATCAATATAAATATATCAAGTGAATAGATGAATAGATGAAGAATTGGATACAAACCTGGTTGCACCCAATGCACGTGTTGATTTCGTCGGCGCGGCCTTCCTTGGCCTTTTGAACAAACTCGGGGTCGGCCAGGAACGGACGAGCCATCGATACCATATCTAACAGCAGCAGCATCATCATCACATGTGTAGTTATTGTACACATGTGTACTGTAGTTATTGTACTGTGTTTATTCTAAATCATCGGCAGAAGAATGGAGCCAATCAGAAAGCAGGAAACCATAATCAACGTCAAATTAGTGTGATACTTCAATTAGTATGATTCCAAGCACCACAGGACAACACCTTTTGACATACAAAATTCAGTACACAAAGAATCGATCGATAGATTTGGCGAATTATCAGCACAAACGTCCAAATTGTGGGTAAAAGAACAATAGCAGTTTGTACAATACAATTCGCATCAAAACTATGACGCTCATAACACTACACGTGTGAATTTGTGGAATTTGGCCGATATATATATATATATATATATATACATTTCAAAGTACCAGCATGTTTGTTGGATAAAATGGCTTCAGCGACGTCAGGTGTGTTGATGCGGTTGGTCGTGATCAGTGGAATGTCCACTTCGCCCTATCGAGCATTTTGATTTCATAAGAGAATAAACACAACAATATCCCACACTTTCAAACAACGTTGTCACAGATACAACGTCGTCACAGATATGGTTCTTGATGGAAGAAGCACATGACGTTACCATGAGTTTGCCCGTGACCCAGGAAAAGCCACCCCGGGGCACGCTGGTCGCAATCGTCGGCACTCGCGCTTCGTGCCACCCGATGCCAGTGTTGAGCAGCGTCGCGCCGGCGGCTTCGATTTCTTTGGCCAGTTCGACGATCTCTTCCCACGAACTGCCGTCCTAATATACGTCGACAATTAGAAATGTAGAGTCGGTTGCACTCTCGTGTATCACAACTTGGATTGCAAGAGTGTGCATTCATATTCGTTGGCAAATATATATATATATACGAAATTTGGTGTTTGAGGTCGAAAAGATGGTATAGAAACTCAAATGATTCCTTGTAATTTGATTGGCCAATTCAAAAGAGGTTTTGAGTGTTTTTTTGTTGGTCGATTCATCCCACTCCAAATTCGAATCGAATATATATATATTTATTTATTTATATTCATAGTCGCTGGCACGATGTGGACCAACTTATATATATATATAGAATGAATGAATGAAAATTATAACTGTAGAAGGTCGACATAGTATATATATATATTCACTTCGTACTTGGACCAAATCCAACATGGACAGCCGAAAGATGATGATAAAATCCGGGCCAACCGCCCGACGCATCTGCCGCACAATTTCCACGGGGAACTTAATGCGGTTCTTGTAGTCGCCGCCCCACTCGTCCGTGCGCTTGTTCGTGTGCTTGACGATAAACTACGCGAGTTCAGGAGAGTTAGGGAATGACTGGAAGACCGAGTGGTGGACGTCTGTTTACCTGATTGATCAAGTAACCTTCGGATCCCATGACCTCGACGCCGTCGTAACCTGCTTCGCGAGCGTTCACGGCGCATTGCACGTAGTCCTTGATGGTTGATTGGATGCCGCGATGGGACAGTTCCTTGGGAGTGAACCATCCGATGGGCGCTTTGATCGGAGACGGCGCCACCGTGAACGGATGGTACCCGTACCGTCCGCTGTGCAGGATTTGCATGGCTATCTTCCCCTGCAAGTTGCATGAGTCATTCGTGTCGTGATGGAAGATTGAGGTACCCCGTTGCCATGGACCGCTTGCGTGACTTCCTTGTGGCGGTTGATTTCGCTGGACGTGGTCATTTTCCCAGCGAGGGGACTCACTCGACCAGCTCGATTCGGGGCCACGCCACCGGTGACAATCAAGCCCACATCCCCACGAGCTCTACATACATGATCAAATGAGCTCGACATTCACAGATCACCGATCGTTACCGTTCTGAGAAGAACGCAGCGAGCTTCGTGAGCGAGCGCCCTTCTTCCAGCCCCGTGTGCATAGAGCCCATGAGCACTCTGTTCTTGAGGGTCGTGAAACCCAAGTCCAGCGGCGTGAGCAAGTGCGGGTATTTGGTCGTCACCTTGGATGAAGCAGCAGCCATCGTCAGTCGTATCGGCAAGTGATCGCGAATCTTTAAAGTGCCGTCCGTGTATACGAAACAGCGCGAAACCAAGTTCCAACGAATTCCCTTATATCTTGTTCAATATATTGGACTGTTTTGATACTACGTAGTATGTAGTATAATACTAACCGGTAGGGTTAATATTTCAACTTCAATTCAAGATAAGGAGTACCATTCGAAAGGGTTCGTGTCAAATAACGTTCCAAAACATCCAAACTATATCACTCAAATACTCCGACTAATATATTGGTTATACTGGTATAGACTGTCCGAAAGTTCAAATAAGGGAATTTGTACTTGAAGGTTTCACGGATTCCCATCGTCCGATTGGTCCCGAAGATTCCACTTTCGATGCAGCTCACAAATACTACAGTAGTACAGAAGTACTTTCTTTTTCATGCTCTACAGTATGGTTGCATGGTGCAGCACTCTGTGGGTGATCTTGTGCGACGAACATGGCCATTAACAGTCGTGAGGATGATGCAGTACTTACGCATTGGACGGATGCACGTTGTTCGCCTGATCGAAATATCAAGAGCTCAGTTTTCGGAGTAACGTATGGTCCTTACGTATACCCAAAATTTGGACTTTTGTCCTGATTCGCCAAATCTATCAATCGAT